TTAATAAAATATTGATGTACCTATGCATACGTTTAAAAGACAAAAAATATATACAACGTATATGCGGTGCGAGTGTTATTGTTAAAATTTCGGTGGATGCGCCGGAACGGAAAATGTTTCTGTTTAAAAACATCGTTATCGGTCTCAGTAAACTTTCTATAATTCATTTTCAACGTTAACTTTCATTTATTTAACCATATTAATTAAGAGAAATGATTAATTAAAGATTTATTCGTAATATTTTCAATATATTAAACTTTAAGTTTATGTATCACGCCATTACAAAGAAATAGGTTCCCAGAAAAAGAAAAACAGTAAATTCATTTGTTATAGTGAGTTGTTATTATTTTTTCTCACTTTCTCTGCATTTTAACTAGTATTTTTGTTGCATTATATCTGTGACAGTTGATTTGCTTTTTTTTGTGCGTAAAGTGAAAGTAAAAATGGTAAATCCATACCCACACAATATGTATCCTCTATAGACTAATAAATGCTAATTACTTAGAAAAGTACTCAAGTTTGCATGATTTATTACAATTGCTTCAACGACGTCTGAAATGGGACTTCTTAAAAGCACAGTAACCTGTTAAAGTTAAGTAAATAACATTTCACTTTTATTTTATTTCAAGACCAGTCTTTAATGCCTTTCAGACAGATCGTTGATTCAAAACTTCCTATGCAAAAGGTGTAAAAATTTAACATCTATATTAGGTACTGTGTTTGACTGTTTAAATAGGCTTATTAGTTTGTCCTTTATAGTTAGCATAATTAAATATTCCCGCAGTCTTTTCCTACTTCCTGCTAGTCAATTCAATTTTTTTTATAAATAAATAAGTTATAAATTCTTGTGATTGCACCAAAAAAATAATTAAAAGCTATAAAATGTGTTCCACCTTTTGTTTACTTTTTACATTTCTGTTGTAGTATAAATACAATTTTCCGTGCCTGCAATGTGTGTTGTATACTTTTTCTGCTCTCATTTTATACTGTAATAACATTTTATTCGTACATCCCCAAGCCACATGTGCTAGAACAAAGTTGTAGCTCAACATTAAAAGTATAAACTGTAGCATCCAAAGTGATAAGATAAAACTTATTTTGGCTTCATTTGGACACAAAAGGAATCCTTTTGAATGCTACGTGCATAATTGATGCGTTTAGTAGTTTGCATAATTCGAAGGAGCATCTTAGGCGTATAGGGTAACTTTCAAAAAAATTTAATAAATATTAATGTGTGGTGATAAAATCTCATATGCCTGTCTTCATAGCGATATGAAAAGTAGGGTAAAACATTTACTCAATGGGGGTATTTTATAAATAGATTTAAACTGCCGTATGATATATGAGGCGTCAAAACAATTAAGTTGAGGTATTATTTTTAGATCTTACGCTCTTATATTTGGGTTGTTATAATGTGAATCATCTAAGAAGCCAAAGGTATATTTTAGATAAGTTTATTCAAGAATTAGGTTGCATATATATTATTATGATATTATTTCTTTACCAAAGGTGAAAGAACCACGTTATTTTGTATCTATTTGCGATATTAATAAGTCTCGATGCAATGGGATATGTCGCTGTTTAAAAACAATGAATAAAGTATAAGATTGTTCCAACGGTCTATGCATTTTTTATTATTTGTAGACCGCAGTTACTAGAATCGTATTACTGAATCATAATCATGCACGTAGAAATTTACATAGATACTTCAGGAAATAGTTAACGTTTGATACATACAAACAATGAAGCGAATATTAGTTTTATAATGACAACAGGAAACAATAAACATATAGGTATACAGAGTGTTCCAGTTGATGCTGACCAAAGCGAGTATATGGTACGCAACTGGGGGTCTAAACAACCACGGAAATTGTTGAAATTATCAGAGCTTCGAAGTTACGCCTATTACATTTCTACTCAGGTACTTGATATGCCCTAGTAAATTCATATCCTGACGACCGGAAGTTAATAGGGCCTGAGCTAACAACTTTCCAATCGGGTTAGCAAGCCCGAAATCCTCGACTCAAAATTTTCTCCCTGTCAAAAAATGTTTTCTTTATCGTTTAAGAATAATATTTTCGGTAAAGAATTTCAAAAACAACGTAATTTTCAGCCGCTACTCTACTGTTCAAAATCAAACTTTTTCATAATAATCTTCGTGTCCTTTTTTCAATTAAAAAAAAAGTGATCCAAATTCTTCATCGTTTAAGAATAATAATAAGAATTTCAAAAACAACGTATATTTTCGGTCGCTACTCTAGTGTTCAAAATCAAACTTTTTCATAATAATCTTCGTGTCCTTTTTTCAATGAAAGAAAAAAGTGATCCAAATTCTTCATCGTTTAAGAATAATAATAAGAATTTCAAAAACAACGTATATTTTCGGTCGCTACTCTAGTGTTCAAAATCAAACTTTTTCATAATAATCTTCGTGTCCTTTTTTCAATGAAAGAAAAAAGTGATCCAAATTCTTCATCGTTTAAGAATAATAATAAGAATTTCAAAAACAACGTATATTTTCGGTCGCTACTCTAGTGTTCAAAATCAAACTTTTTCATAATAATCTTCGTGTCCTTTTTTCAATGAAAGAAAAAAGTGATCCAAATTCTTCATCGTTTAAGAATAATAATAAGAATTTCAAAAACAACGTATATTTTCGGTCGCTACTCTAGTGTTCAAAATCAAACTTTTTCATAATAATCTTCGTGTCCTTTTTTCAATGAAAGAAAAAAGTGATCCAAATTCTTCATCGTTTAAGAATAATAATAAGAATTTCAAAAACAACGTATATTTTCGGTCGCTACTCTAGTGTTCAAAATCAAACTTTTTCATAATAATCTTCGTGTCCTTTTTTCAATGAAAGAAAAAAGTGATCCAAATTCTTCATCGTTTAAGAATAATAATAAGAATTTCAAAAACAACGTATATTTTCGGTCGCTACTCTAGTGTTCAAAATCAAACTTTTTCATAATAATCTTCGTGTCCTTTTTTCAATGAAAGAAAAAAGTGATCCAAATTCTTCATCGTTTAAGAATAATAATAAGAATTTCAAAAACAACGTATATTTTCGGTCGCTACTCTAGTGTTCAAAATCAAACTTTTTCATAATAATCTTCGTGTCCTTTTTTCAATGAAAGAAAAAAGTGATCCAAATTCTTCATCGTTTAAGAATAATAATAAGAATTTCAAAAACAACGTATATTTTCGGTCGCTACTCTAGTGTTCAAAATCAAACTTTTTCATAATAATCTTCGTGTCCTTTTTTCAATGAAAGAAAAAAGTGATCCAAATTCTTCATCGTTTAAGAATAATAATAAGAATTTCAAAAACAACGTATATTTTCGGTCGCTACTCTAGTGTTCAAAATCAAACTTTTTCATAATAATCTTCGTGTCCTTTTTTCAATGAAAGAAAAAAGTGATCCAAATTCTTCATCGTTTAAGAATAATAATAAGAATTTCAAAAACAACGTATATTTTCGGTCGCTACTCTAGTGTTCAAAATCAAACTTTTTCATAATAATCTTCGTGTCCTTTTTTCAATGAAAGAAAAAAGTGATCCAAATTCTTCATCGTTTAAGAATAATAATAAGAATTTCAAAAACAACGTATATTTTCGGTCGCTACTCTAGTGTTCAAAATCAAACTTTTTCATAATAATCTTCGTGTCCTTTTTTCAATGAAAGAAAAAAGTGATCCAAATTCTTCATCGTTTAAGAATAATAATAAGAATTTCAAAAACAACGTATATTTTCGGTCGCTACTCTAGTGTTCAAAATCAAACTTTTTCATAATAATCTTCGTGTCCTTTTTTCAATGAAAGAAAAAAGTGATCCAAATTCTTCATCGTTTAAGAATAATAATAAGAATTTCAAAAACAACGTATATTTTCGGTCGCTACTCTAGTGTTCAAAATCAAACTTTTTCATAATAATCTTCGTGTCCTTTTTTCAATGAAAGAAAAAAGTGATCCAAATTCTTCATCGTTTAAGAATAATAATAAGAATTTCAAAAACAACGTATATTTTCGGTCGCTACTCTAGTGTTCAAAATCAAACTTTTTCATAATAATCTTCGTGTCCTTTTTTCAATGAAAGAAAAAAGTGATCCAAATTCTTCATCGTTTAAGAATAATAATAAGAATTTCAAAAACAACGTATATTTTCGGTCGCTACTCTAGTGTTCAAAATCAAACTTTTTCATAATAATCTTCGTGTCCTTTTTTCAATGAAAGAAAAAAGTGATCCAAATTCTTCATCGTTTAAGAATAATAATAAGAATTTCAAAAACAACGTATATTTTCGGTCGCTACTCTAGTGTTCAAAATCAAACTTTTTCATAATAATCTTCGTGTCCTTTTTTCAATGAAAGAAAAAAGTGATCCAAATTCTTCATCGTTTAAGAATAATAATAAGAATTTCAAAAACAACGTATATTTTCGGTCGCTACTCTAGTGTTCAAAATCAAACTTTTTCATAATAATCTTCGTGTCCTTTTTTCAATGAAAGAAAAAAGTGATCCAAATTCTTCATCGTTTAAGAATAATAATAAGAATTTCAAAAACAACGTATATTTTCGGTCGCTACTCTAGTGTTCAAAATCAAACTTTTTCATAATAATCTTCGTGTCCTTTTTTCAATGAAAGAAAAAAGTGATCCAAATTCTTCATCGTTTAAGAATAATAATAAGAATTTCAAAAACAACGTATATTTTCGGTCGCTACTCTAGTGTTCAAAATCAAACTTTTTCATAANAAAGTTAGTGCATAATCAGTTAGAAGCTATAGAATTTTGTGGTGACAATTATTTATTAATGTATTGTTCATAATGTTGCTTTGGTGACTTAGGATATGTACAGTGTTTTCGGTTTCATCATTTTTGCATTATAAATTTTACGGTTGATTTCTGTTATTGTTATTTAGTCTGATAAGGAAAATATCGATTTATGGTCATAGATTAATATTTAAACTAATGTTTATTAATACGTTATTTAGTCTTAAAATGGTTGTCCATTTTATTTACTCGTGGTAGAAGTTAACTTCATTCTGGTAGTTTGTTTATAATGAGAAATGCAAAACATATAAGGAGTATTATTCCCACCTATCTGCTAATTTTTGCTTGTGATTAATTTATGAATTTTGTTTTGACCTTTAAATGCAGCTTTAAAGTATTCTATTGTTTAATCTTAGCTACTATGTTAATTAAGGTATTTTTTGTTTTAGTTGGATCATGTTCGAAGTTGTAAGAAGTTGACTCATGAAAGCTACAGATAACAGGAATAAGAATGTCTCTTAGTGCAGGTAATTATGTAATTTAAAAAGCACAAAAAATAATCTGCATTTATAAAAACATTAGAGACTACTTATAATTGATACACACCTTTTGATTATTTAACCCAAGTCATATATTCCTTAGATAATATTAAGTCCTTAAAGTACAGATAATTCAAATCTTTTATTGAAAGTAAAAGGAACTTACAAATGCTTATATTGAAATGCATGTGACAATATTAATCTTTTACGTTTATTAGTAATATAGCAGTGCAAGTGACGCAGCTTAACATAAATTATTTCTGTGTGGTTTGCAAACAAATCGATTAGTATTGATTAGAGCTCTTAAAAAGATTCTGTTAGTTGTACATTGCATTTTTCATTTCAGGTTTTGAAGTGTCAGCTATGAAAGCCAGTTTTTCCATGTCATCTTTGCAAGCCCCTGAAATGGAAAGAGATATCACCCCAAGACTCTGTAATAGTTTGACAAAAAAGAAGCGCAAGGAAATAGAACACTGGAGAAGATCATGGGGAAGTTCAGCCAGTGACCAGAAAGATGACTTCTGGTCAGCTTTACAAGCTAATTATAATTATATTATGGATAATCAACTAATTGACAATTGTCAGGCAAGTAATTTGTATAAAATTATACAAAGATTATGTATTAAGTAATAATAATTTTTTTGGTACAGGAGGCAAACGGCGAGCTAAATTTGGATAAAACCTGGTCTTTAATAGAATTTTATACTAAGTTCTCAGAACTCTATTCCTGGCTTAATAGTGTTCAAGAGGCTATATTTAGTAAAGAACTCAGTGAAATTGATAAAGAATTGAAAGCTGTAAGTAATTAAAAATAAAATATTTATTAGAATTATTCATTCATATTTTTCATGTCTTTTGCAGCACTACAGTGATGAGGTAGTGCAGAAAAATTCACTTCGAAATCTTTTCAATGAACAAGCTAGTCAGTTAGTGCAATTGCATCCAGATGTAAAAGAGGAGGTAACACGTCGAGTTATGCATATTAACTCTAAATGGGACTCACTCCAGGCTGCTCTTGGTCTTACAAATTCTAAAGGCATCGATCAGTCTTTTACAGGTATAATACAAATTTGCTTTTACATTCTTAAAAACGTATTTCTAATTTAAAAGGTAGCAGTTGTAACAAGTTCTCATGACTTATTTAACAATTAAGTGTAAATTTGACCATATTATTTATATTAAATTAATACTTAAAACAAGAAACTATAAACTACGAAATTCAACTTACAATTCTTATAGTGTCCATTTGATGAAATAGTTTGAAAAAGAACTTAAAAAGGTAATCACTTGATTTGTCCCATAAATTTGTGAGGTAAACCAAGTGTTTTACATCTTTTCTTGTCAATTAGAGTTAAAATAATTAAATTACCATTCTCTTTTGTGTCAGTCACTTACTTATTTCTGTCACAGCACTGCTGTACTTAGAATCACTAGTGAACTATTTTTGGTACCGCTTGATGTCTCATAGGTCATGTGTTAACGATCAACTGTAACCTTATTGGCACAAATACTGTTTTAATTTTGATTTTTTTACTTGTATTTACAAACAACGTTTTTTGGCAGTATATTCATTTTACATACAAATATGTATAATAAATAGGTCATTACTTATTTGCTTTTATTCTTTTTTAATTAGTATTTGATGAGATGAAATAAAACTAACATTGATACTTGGTCCTGTGTATATTCAGTATAAAATGGAAGCAGATATAGCAGTTTAGCTTTGCACATTATTTTTTTCATTATATTTAATATTTTTAAAGCGTTAACCATCCCTGATGGCTCATAATTTGCCTATTGTTTTCACTTGTGGAGACTTAAGTAATCTTTTTGCTTAATTATTTCCACTCAACAATAAATATTTTATTTCGTTGATTAAAACCACTTCCATTCCACGAAATTCCAAGTCTTTATAGTTGTAGATTTTGCGGTGGTATATTGTTTGATTAAATACATAATGCTGCCCCTCATTTAATGCTTGAATCATAAGCTTTTTCTCATAATACAAGAATTACTTGTCATAGTGCAAGTAACTCAACTATTAGCAAACGAACTATGTACTTCTCTTTAGTGAATATATGAATAAAACATCTTTCCAGCTAATACAACTGGGGAAGTACCAAATATATGAGGGATCAAAATATTGATTTTTAAGATCAATAGACATTCGTTATTACTTAAAAAGGGTTCAGTTTGTTCACGGTATACGGCAGTCTAGTACAATTAATATGCTGGTTATATTGTGCCATGTTTGCATAGTAAATGTGATCAATAATTAATTTAATTTAAGCAATTGATTAATATACAGAAGACCAAAAGGGATACTTTTTATCTCGTAATAAAGTTAGTTTTGGTTGTCAACGTTTATTAAATTTAATGTGTTTATTGTTGCAGATATAAATGCAGAGTTGAAATGTTTGCGAAACTGGATGAAATCAATGGAATCACGTCTTCAACCTCTAGTCTTCAGGGTCGAATGGTCCAAACCTGAGATAGAAAAGAAAATGTTAGAGCATATGGTGAGTGATTTTAAAAATTAAACCATAAAATTCGTATCTAAGTGTCATGATTAGGGAGCGATAAGTCTACCATTCTTGTTGCATTATTTTTTTGGGGGAAATAAGAGTATTTTATAGGCAATTTTCGTTATAGAAATACTTTGTTTTGAGGCTTCAGATAGTAAAATTAAAAATATTCAAAAATACACCTTGAAATTGGCTTTCTTGTATTTTTGATGGCTTCAGTAATTGGAGGTGTTTTTGTTAACCGTTTATTTTGCATTTTCGTTAACTATAATTGCTAAAAATGTGGTATTTTGGTCAATTTTCGATTTTCTGGTTTCACTTGTGATGAACACTAGATGGCGCTACAAGGTCAGTGCTAGTTTAAAAATGAATATATTACTGCAGGAAATATTGTGTTAATAGTAAGCAATGGTTGCCTGTGTTGCTACTACGCGTGAGATGGCGCTGGGCATTTCTTGTTCAATTTAAATAAATGTTTATATACAGTGGTTCTCATGTGTAGTTGTACGGCTATTTTTTTGGTTTTTAAAAAACAAACTTAATGTTTCTTATGATTTGGTTTCGATTATGTTTTGCATAAAGAATAAATTAAGACTACTTTATTTTCCAATCTTTTTGGCAATTGTTATCCATGAGGTTTACCGAATATTATTGATATATGGATTACCCAAAAAGTTTTCAAAAATTAAACATTTTCATTAAGAAATTTGTGGATATTCATTCGTAGACACTTTTAATTTTTTGTTTTACTAAAATCATGAATGTATTTCTGTCTTCACATTTGTCAATCAAGACATTAAAATAGATCTAATTATAAGTAAAGTAAAAAAAAAGGAACCTAATAAAGGTCTGAATAAAACGAAAGGAAGTGTAAAAATATACTTACCAATAGTAACTTACACTTATGGATGCTCTTATTTATACTCATACTATTTCACAACCATAGTTTCCTGTCTTTTAACATTAGACTAGGTACTTCTTGAGCCGCAATAGTCTTCTTTAGTATGTCTCACGTAAAAGGGGACTTTACTCTGCGTTTGGGAAAAATATTTATTTTGTTCATTTGGAAGGTAAGTTATTTTGTTGCTTGCAGCTGCATGTTAAGAAATTGCAAACCTGAAAGATACGTTAAATGTTATAAAAATTGTCTACTTACATTAAATTTTTCCTGAACTGTTAGTTCTAAAAACGATAGAGTTGTGGTAAAATATTATTACTTCTCTTTGTACTACTCGTTGTTGAAGAAACTCAACAAAAAGTAGAAATTCGCTTTAGTCGTGACAAGAATTCTTTTGAATCATGCCGCCCAAAACAGTTAAGGAGGTTGGAGAGCAACACTAGTAATGAAATTACTGTTGCACAAAAAATAGTAAATAACTAATTGTACGAGCCACATCTGCAAAATTTGATTTTGCGAAACCGTTGAACATTATCAATGAAACAAAACAGATGCTAAATAATAAAAAAGTTTTCCTATTTTTTAAAACTGTCAAAAATCATGGAGTCTTGAAGTAGTGAAACTTTATTTTTATTCTGATTTCATTAAATAAAATTTTGTAGATGTGTCTAGTTATTTACTATTTTGTTTTCCGCAATAATTGATTGTATGAGATATATTTGTAAAACTTTATTCAGTGAAGTTGTTAACAATTATCAACGAAACAAAATAAACAAATCAGATGGAAAAAACTTTTTATTTTTAATCTGATTTTTAATATTTAGCATGTGTTTTGTTTTATTGTTAATGTTTAACAGTTTCACCAAATCAAATTTGCAGATATATAATGTTATTTACTATTTTTCTTTGCAACAGTATTTTCTTCAACGCTGTATCTCTTCAACCTCATTAAATTGGTCATTCATGTGTTTGTAATTGATTATTTGACGTGCTATGATAATAGTATTAATTATTTTTCATAACAAATTCATAGTTTTAATGCAACTTGCAAATAACATGTTTCTACTTTATGAAATAAAGTGTTAATATTTTGAGTACGTTGAATATCGAGAAGACGATTATGAAGCAATATTCCAAAATTAGGAATGATATATTTAGATACATATTTTAAATCAAGCGTAGGTGTCAAGGGTAGCAAGACAGTGATAATTTTTAAGATATTCATAAATAAATTGTCGCTAATGATTCTCATGGTCGAGCACCTCTTCGATATATTTAGTTATTATTTCGTTATGTTGGAAGCTTGCAATTTTTGAAAATTGTCCATAATTTCAAACAAAAATAACAAGGTATTTGTTCAAGAGTTTTATTGTACACACTGCAATATTGTTAAAACGCACTGTGGCATCGTGTGATGATGTCAAATCTCATATGGCATTTGCATGTTAAATTTTGTCTGATTTGGTAGTGGTTTTCACTGCCATTTGGATTTTAATGTAAAATATCTGACGCTATTATCAAATACAATTGTATATTAAAATAAATCCAAAACATGAATAATAATGTCTTTAAAGTGTTAGTACACTTCATCATAAGGTCGTCAATCCTTGGGCACGCAACTCCACTCTTTCTTATCCTGAGCTAATCTTCGTATTTTCCTAAAACTAGAACATCCCACATCCTTAAATATTTACAAACAGTAATCTAATCTAGGTCTGTCTCTATTCCTTTTAACTCCTGTTTCTGGTTCTAATATGTCTCTGACTAGACTTTCATGGCTGAGAAGGTGTCCCCAACCTATCTCGTCTATTTTTTATTGACTTTACAGTTGTACTGTCTTTTATAATGTTAATCGCGACTTCGACGTATATAACTATAATTTTGACTTAGATGTACCTACTAGTTGTATGTATAACGTAATTTTATAATACTTTTTAAACTTAAACTTCGGCGTCAAATTGATTAATGTTATTTTTGCGATACTTAATAATAAAATAAACAGCCATGTACCGCATTCATATTGGATTCCCGTCCCATGTCTAGTCAAAACTTTGTTGACAATTAAAAAAATTAGTTTTCCGTCGGTCTCACGTGGCTTATGAACCGAATCTTATGTGGCAGATTGTTAATATTTTATATACATATATTGCACATATAGAAACTGACCGTATAAAATGAAAGTAAATTTTATAACTGGCAGCTTTGTGAAAGTCATCGTGGCTATCTGCGATCTAATAACAGCTTATCGAAAATAAAGCAATAAATCTGCCACGCTACCTTCCACCCTATATTTACCCGATTGCCGACCGTTATCTTCGACTGTTACGTCACACAAAAGACTTATGTATTGCTCCTTCAGGTATACATATAGGGTGAACCATTGCGAAATTATTTATAACAAATTTTTTGTGTTTTGTACACAACGTGTTGGGTTATGTGAAATTGATTGCTTCCTGCTTAAAATTTTACGTTATATCGGGTTAACTTAATATTTAGTTTAGGGTGGGCCAGCTCATGAAGACATAACTTTCAAAGCACTCAGGTCCAGCAGTAACTGGTTATAATTTTGGATAAATTCGTTTTGTGGTAAAATTAGGAAATTCTAATTGTCCGCCACGTACCTACTCCAACGAACTAATAGAATTTACATTAGAAATTAACATTGCAAGTCTTTTAATTTTCTATTTATTATAGAATATTAAAAAATGTACTTAAGTGATTAAAACACTATCTTACGATGAATATAAATAATAAGGTATTTTATGCATAAATGACGGTTTACAAT